AAGATATGACAGCTGCAATCGGGACGTTACACCTACTGAGAGCTTCACTCAACGTACAAACAGAATACCAACAAATGCTGTCATAATTCTGCCTTAATAAATTGCTCCAATATTTCCTAAATTAAGACATTTTCTGGTAACAAAATTCAGTTGATGAATTCCACTTATTAGACAGATTGATGAAGGGTAGAAATGGGGAGGTATTGCATATAGTTTTATTCGCCGCGATACGAGAGTATGCACAAGAATGTAAAATGGTACTTCAGGTACTGAAAACTAGCTAGAAATATCATAAAATTGTCATAATTTTTCCCGAAGTACTATTTGCATGATTCTGTGTATTAGGTGTATTTACCATTCCTCCGAATCCCTGTAAATATGAGACAAAATTAAACCAGAGTTGCAAATCTACATCATCTCCTTTTTTTTTTGCAATCAAATTCTCGAGTCTTTTGAAGAAAAAAAATCATGCCCTTACTATTCATCTGAAATCAAATTATTTATTATTCAGAAGAACTGGTCTACACAATGTGTGGTCAATTCAGCATTTATCACATCATTCCAAACTTTTTTTAAATTGAAATATTTTAGTCCAACCAGGTGGCGACAATGTAAAATAACCGTTTTCTTCTACGTCCGAAATGTCTACTTCTAAAATCAAATATTTTGCGTGAATTAAATAGACTGTGATTGACAAAGAAGGAATCACATGTTCTACCACATAATTTAAAAGAGTGTTAATAAATAACAGTACCAAGTTTTCAAGCTTCGTTCATATTCTTTGACTCAATCCTTCGCGAGATGAATAAGATTTCGTATTTCATGATTTTTTTTCCATGAAGTAGCAAATTACACAAAATTTATTGTAGAAATTATTCAATATTTTTTTTAGCAATAGTTACAAATCATGTAATGATAATTCCACTTTATGAAGCCTAAGTGGCAAATTTTCTCTCTTCTGTACTTAACTCCATCGGTATAATAGTTAATTAATTTAATAGACAGTTTGATTAGACATGGGCTTGATGATAAAACGCCAACATAATATTCTCAAAAGCCAAGTTAAGAAGTACGCCAATACCATTTTTCTGAAAATATGCAAAATGGAAGATATTTACAATAGTATAGAAACAATGAAATGTTTATAAATATGAATTGATAGGAAAATGATTGCGTACTTGGTGCGAAGAATTCATTTCTTTTTGATTATCAAATGTGTTAATGATTTATCTAGCGTATAAACAGACCCAAGCTATCTCACACTAGAGCTTTTGTCAGGTATAGGTCTATGTTAAATGTCACAGTTTTGTTATAGGTCTGTATAAAATATATGTTGTACCTATAAATGTATCCTCCTTGAATATGTGACTGGTTTCATTCTCTTCAGTTTATATAATGTACAACTCAGTAACATCTTATGTCACCAATGTTTGACAAGCACAACATGAAGGTTTTTTCATAGCCTGTAAAATATAAGTATGTTGTACCTATAATAGCCTCCTTGAGTATGTGGCTGGTTTCATTCTCTTTAGTTTATATAATGTACAACTCATGAAACATCTTATGTCACCAATGTTTGACAAACACAACATGATGGGTTACATCTTTCTCCAAAATACTATTGGCCGGATAAGTTGAGACGTTGCAAAGGTAAAGTAGAGGTCCAACGAATACAAGGTCATGTAACGTGTGAACGATTGGTGACTAAAACTCCTCACCTCTGAATTGTTTTGTTTTTTGTAAATCTGGTGTCCTGATAATACGACAATACACACGTCATTCCTCGCCCCACATGCTCCATATGTTTAGATATCCGGGCTTCTGAGGGGGAAAACTTTGGGACTTTTGAGAAATGATGGGAGGAGCAAAACAGAGGAAGGAAGAGGCAGAGAGAGAGAGGGGGAGGGGAGAGAGAGGGAGAGAGAGAGAAGGAGAGAGAGAGAGGGGGAGAGGGAGAGAGAAAGAGAGAGAGAGAGAGAGAGAGAGAGAGAGGGGGTGGAGGGAGAGATGAGGGGAGAAAGAAGAGGAAGAGAGGGGTGAGAAATAAAGAAAGGGATGAGGACGGAAAGAGAAAGAGGAGCAAAACAGAGGAAGGAAGAGGCAGAGAGAAAGAGAGAGAGGGGGAGAGAGAGAGAAGGAGAGAGAGAGGGGGAGAGGGAGAGAGAAAGAGAGAGAGAGAGTGGGTGGAGGGAGAGATGAGGGGAGAAAGAAGAGGAAGAGAGGGGGTGAGAAATAAAGAAAGGGATAATGAGGACGGAAAGAGAAAGAGTGAGAACTGAGAAAGAGAATAGTAGAAGGTGAAAGATAGAGAATGTGAGAAGAATACAGATAGAGGGTAGGTAAAGAGGGGCGCAGGTAATGACCAAGAGAGAAACGAAGAGACAAGAGACAGACAGAAAAGGTTCATATTCACAATGGTCTGTTACTTTATTATGTATTTTTTTCTTGCAAATGGAAGAATAAATGTCCTCACATACTGTTTCAAAAAGAATGCATGAGCAAAATAGAGGCCGAGGGAGACATAACATAAAGCCTTAGAAGCTATGATAGTAAAACAAAAGGGAATAATAGTTTTTCATTGACGACATCAGATAATGTTAAAAGAAACTATAAAGGGATAACAGATATCAGAACGATCACATAGGAAGAGAGAGATAGCGAGAGCCAGAGAGAGAGAGAGAGAGAGAGAGGGGGAGGGAGAGCGGGGGGGGGGGTCTTTGCTTCATCTGACCTGCAAATCCTCAAAAAATGGAAATGCATCTGGCGTGTTTGTATAGCCCGCATGATCAAGGTTGAGAATGAGGTAGTTTTACCTGCTTACCTCGGCTAGCTAGGGGATCACCACGACAGACCAACGGAGAGTTCGGGTTGGGATTTCATTCGTAGATGGGGTGTTACACAGGTAATGTATGACGCCGTACATGAAAATGCCCCTAGTTTTACTTGCTCGCTCAAAGAATTTTAACTATTAATAAATTACAGAGAGTATCATTTGTTTACAAGAATAAGAATGCAACGTTAGGTTATAATCAGGACCAGTTTTACAACAAGTTTTCAAAATGCAATAGTAATGCCTTTCATTGTAACAGTTAACTACAGGCTACCTTTTCACTTTATAAAGATACGATTGAATGCTTTTTGTACGTGAACTGAACAATAATCATATTTATTTTCCCTTTCTGTAGTTTTACCGGATATTCTTGCAAATATGAGGCATTTTATCATCGACCTGCCAATGATTTACAATTCCTCTTTATGATTGCTATTTTATTTAATTTATTTCTATCTATTTTATTTTTGCCTTTCTCAGTTGAACAAAAATCAGTGCGACGAAGAACTGGTAGAATTCAAAAGCATTTTGTTTTAGTTGGAGGCAAAATGAATGAGGGGTTTACTACATTTGTCTTTAATTATACTGCTCTGGGTAATACTACCATCATGATAGTTATTCTTCATGAGTACTGACGAAAAATTCGCATATATATTTCTTACTGGTACTGTGGTACAGACTCGATCTATGTGGTTAAAAGTCTAGTAGGATAATATTCAACAATCAAACAAAATAATATCAGTGTGAAAGTAACAAACTGTGTAAGCTTAATATATTTCGCAATACAAGTGGAGTTTAGGCCTATCATTTTGAATTATTATTTCGCATTTCGTTTTCTCCAAATATCCATCTTTAAAATTTAAATTTTAAAGTCGCTCAAAATATTTCACGTGCAAGGGATTTAACTCTCATTTAGTGCAAAAATCCACAATCTTCCATTTTGGTATATGACTGTAGGATTAACGTTTTGCGCATAAGACTCACTTCAATATTGGTTGTACATTTTTATTCAAGTAGGCTAGTATTTTAGCTAGTATACAAATACAAGAATTTAGGAGCTTCTTTCCACGAAGTTTAACGTTTTACCTGGCGAAAAAGGCTTGCCAACGTTTTATCGAGGGCTACAAGTTCAACCGAAACAAAATGACAGAAGATCGAAAATGTATTGTAACAATAGAGGCAGACAGACGTGTTTTGATAGATTTCCTGAGTTTTCTATCATCAAGTATAATGACCATCACGACAGACAAGCTACTCATCATGACTCTACTTTATACAATATAAATCACAATAATCGTCTAACAAACATTATCTTTTTGTCATTTCTCTCCTCTTTATTCCTTTGATTCTCCCTCTTTAACGCTTTGATATATTTCCGAAGCTCATGTAAGCATGTTTGAGATGCTGTGCAGTGCTAGGGTAGGGAGATAAAAACTCAAAAGCATGATGTAGCTGCCGAATGGGGACTCACGCACGGCGATGTATAAACAAATGTGTTTCGTGCTGGCATCGACATATTTATGGGAGAAAGGGGAGGGGGAGGGTTGGTGAAAGGCCCGGAGTGCAGTGTCTGCACGAAATTTGGAGAGACCCAAGAGATGGATATATATTTCTAGGTGGAATGGTTCATGAATAGCTGGAGAAGAATATTCCCTGAAGTCAACCGTAGGTCATGTTGGCCTGATATAACATTACAATGGATTGCGACGTTTTGATTTTGTTTACTCCGCTCCAATTTAGAATATCTCCAATTTAAATGTTGCACGTGTTGTGTCAAGGTGGTAGTAAAGAAATGATATACCAAATATTTACACTTTCGCAGAGTATTTACTTTTTGTCTTGCTAAAAACATAGCATGACGAAACTCAAACTCAAGTTAGAAATTAGGCAAAGCAAGAATGTTTCCTCTTTATATTTCAACAGAAATGACACGTTGTTATTCGGATGATCTCATAGAAGTACAACGTTAACCATTCTGCTTTATTTCAAAACTTTTTAAATGTCGTGGTCGACTCACAATTCATACCTTTATTAGCCTATACCTTAAACAGCTCACGATTTGTATGTTTAAAAGATTTTTTTATGAAATGGGGTGTATATTAAACTATAATTACTGGGTAAAAAATAACATGAGCGCGTACAAATCGTTCTAATAATTATCAAATTTTACCTTCCATGTTGTGATAGTCGTTGTTGTATCTTAATCCCCAATCACCGTTCCCGTTCTGTGCCTCATGCAAGGCCTGCAGAGACGCGACGGAACTGTCCTGACATACCACGCCGCCAGTCCCGGCGGTCAGCTCGTCCTCGTCACCCTCCCTGTCGCTGGGTGAGATAAGGGATGCGATGCTGAATGCGTTTGCCCTTGGAGAAAGCGGGTCCGCCGATTGACTCGTAATATCCATAGCCAGCCCAAGAAAAAGCCGACTTTTAAGGTGAGATCGGATAAATTCGAGATCAAATTTACCCGATTCGAGACACTTTATAACCAACCTCCTAGGTCCGTTGTTGATGGTGTAGTATACGTCCCGTGTGTGTAATCACCAATTAATAAGCACACGATAAGAAAGCCGCAGGGTGAATTAGAAGATCGCACAGATATCGTTCGCGCGCTAAAATCCGTAAATGACGACTCAACAGGCTATAGGATCACGTTTGATGCCGAGAAACTCGTGGAAATTGCTAGCTGAATCTCGGATGAGAAACTGAATAGGTCTTACACTAGTCCTGCTATACGGGGGTAAATGATCTCACATAGATTTCAAGAATAGTTGTCAGACTCAGAGAGTGAAAAGAGTTTAGTCCCACTGTCATGAGAGCTTTGAATGAAGTGATGTGCAGTAACATCTAGCCCCGAGTCTCGGGCACGATCTCTCTATCTTCGGCGTTGTTTTGAGATTATCGCACAAGTGTTGCAATGAAAGGTCCCTTCAACTTTTCCTTAGCTCCCCCTCTCTCTCTCACCTACCATCATCGTCAGCAGTACCGATGTCAGTTGCTAACTTCATCCACAAATGGGACCCAAAGTTTGTGTTATTTACCGCTGTATCCCCGCCTCTATCTCAGGGTTCGTAGCAGGTCCATGGTTGAAGTCAGCGACTAGTGCTTGCTACAGGTATGTCGGAACTGTCGCCATCGCTGATTGGTTGTTTGGGGGAGCGCTACGACACCAGACACTGGCGACGTCGGTAAATTATGCAACGATGCTCGTAAATCATTGGTCGTCGACAACCAAATCATTTGACTAATTATGCAGATGAATGCACGAGTGGCTCCGAGTGGGCAAGATTAGAGGGATACACGGGCTTCACCTGTCACCCCCCCCCCCCCCCCTCCGTGAAATTATCCTCATTAACAAAATCACATTTGAATCTCAAATTCGGCAATGGGCAGTAAAAAAAAAAGTATTTTATTTCAAACGGACCAAAGGCGAACGAATAACAAAAGTTTAAAACAAATCATAAAACAGTGGCGAATGCTTATTGAATCTATCAAGATGAAAACAAAAGTATGGCTGATTAAAACAAAAGTACCATATACAATTAAGTCCTTATATACAATGTGGAAAGGGAAACACAAATGTTTAAATGCAGTCTTAATCATGAAACTCAAGACTTTATCGAGTATTTGGCGCATGAGAACAGAATATTTGCCTTTTAAATTTATCAAACGAGTGTTTTGGTCCTAAACCCCCCCCCCCCCTTCTCTACTATTTATTATTTATATAGTTATGCTCTCTCTCTCTGCCTCTCTCTATATTTCTCTCTCTCTCTCACCTCTCTTTCTTTCAACCAGTACTACTTCGAACGGACTGGTGTGTGTGTGTGTGTGTGCGCGCGTGTGTGTGTGTGTGTGTGTGTGTGTAGTACGGCGTAGTACATCTGTGTCTCACAATCATTACTACCCAACCCCTTCCGACCTAGCTCTCCCGCGCCACCCCTCCCCCATTTTCCCTCACGATTTACGTCTGGGTGTTTGGTTGGTCTACTGCTGTTCAACTCATCTCCGTCTTCTGGCTTTCTCATCAAGGAGGGCGACCCCAGCTATTTGGGGGAAGACAAACGGTCCAAGTTCAACAAACCCTAATCTCTCTCTCTCCCTCTCTCTCTCTCTCTCTCTCTCTCTCTCTCCTTCCCTCTTTCTTTTTATATTTTCTCTCTTTCTTCATTACTTTCTTTTAAGTTGTCTCCTTGTATGCCTAAACAATAAACACCATAATATGATATCCACAAATATCTTCATGAAATTATAAAATCATGTTTTGTTATTGTTGATATATTTCGGGCTAAAGTCTTTGTTCTTCCTAATTTTTTCTTTCTTTCTTTCTTTTCCCTTTTCTTTTTTAACCTAATTTGTCTTATTCCCTCCTCCTCCTTCTCCTCTTCCGCTCTTTTTCTCTTCTTCATCATCTTTTTTCTTTTCATCTGTTCCATCCGCTTTTGCTTTTTTTTTTTTGGTTTCTTGTTCGTTTGATTTTTCCTCAAAGGCATGTTCACGAACTTCGATTGAATACTTGTTACACATTACTAAAGAAGAACATTACGAATCATGCCTTTATTTATATGATACGAATACAGACCTGCAATACATAAAATAAATTATACTCTATGCTGTCTTTTTGTGACATGTAATGCAAACGAAATGGACGACATGAAGCAACATTGACTGAATGTGATCATAATCATTTGCTAATGTTATTATTGAATACAATTCCAGTATCGAGGATGTCATAGCTCCTCAAGAAAAATCATGACAGACAGTGAGCCATTGAGGAGGGTTTAGACTTTTCTTCCAGCGATTGAAAGTTGATGACTTAAGACATTCCAGATCAAGCGAATATCCAGATACTCCTCGTAAAATCAAACTTGAATACCTTCCCCGTTTAATTTCGATGATAGTTACGTCGACAATACTTGTATACGTCAATGGTCAGGCTATACAACCAGTACAATGTTGGGTTAATAAGTGTAAAGTATCACAATTTGAAGGGGATTCGACTTAGGAACTGGTATGACCAAGGAGCTTAGAAATTAATCTGACACTTCCTAGGTATGACATAGGATGAAATGTTTAGAAGATAAACATCATTGTTCAAATTACTTCGTTACCCGGATCAACGTGGCCATGGATGGGGATGCGATGACGACGATGATGCTGCCGATAATAAGACGTATGATGCCGCTGGTGGTGATGATAGCAATATGATGATGACAATGATGATAATAACGACAGCGAACAGAAGGAGGAAGAAATTGATGACAATGATGTGAAGATGATGATGATGATGATGATGATGATGAAAAAGGATGATAGCCCAGATACTACTAATTGTAATAATAATGGCGTCGTCCTTCCACATTATTGTACTACGGAGACATACAAAATATAGCTAACTTTATTCAAAGATAAAAATGGAGCAAGTCAACACTTGAAAACAACATGCCGAAATGATAGAAATTATAATAGTCGGTGAGCAATAAAAACTCGAAGACCGCTACAGTTAGCAAACTTTCCCCGTCGAGTTGAAAATATCTGCCAAACACATTAAAATGTTCCACGAGGGTCTTAACGTCTGGCTTAATTGGGCTTTTGCCCTCAAGGAGAGAAAAGTGTCACCGCTGCTCAATTTCTATCTTGTCTAATTTATGGTCTAATGTTTCCCAAAGTGTAAGGCGATCTCGGAATGGCATTCTTTCTCGGCGTTTGAAATAACACTTGGGTTCACATTATAGCGCAAACTGCCCCCATGTTTGTGGGCACTTGTGTATTTCCGAACTGTAATAAAGATGGCGGTTAAAGAGCTACACCTACCATCTATGAATTCTGTGAAGCCTTCTGTAATTTCATTTAAAATGTACGATTTGGCTGTCAACTCTGCGATGCTGTCATAATTAGACGCATATTTGTTGGTAAGTAAACATACGAAATTCTCAATCATGCTCTTTCAATTCTAATTTCACATTTGCTTTTTAAAGGCAAAGTAAAACGTGTTGTTTGAAATTTGACGCGCCCAAAACTTGAACGAGTGTTTTAGCAATAATAATATTTACAGGGAGATTCGATAAGCTTCTGATGGCATATTAATGAAAGATATAATCCTGGCCATTCCAGGTACAGCTACAGTAAAAGATCGAATCCAAGCACTACTCAGTATTTAGTAGCGATATGTAAATTTTGACCCTTCACCGTGTGCTCGGGGTCGAGTCTCCTAACTGATCTGACTGCAAATGTAGTCTTACTCCGTTTTTTCGTTTCAAATGTCTAGCCGCCATCGATATTTCTACTACTAATAAGTGAACTAGTGGGCATGGTGGGAGGGCTCTCTAGGGGGAAAAGACATGCAATTTGTCTTGTCCCCTTTTTAAATGTGCCCCCATGATCTCATCTTTCTTTGTTGTCAAACGGCGTCGAATATTATCACTTCTTTTTACTTTCATGAATCATGGGCGCCGCCATTTTGAATATTACATTGTTGTTTCTGCACAGCAGGACACTGCGATCTAGCTCGGAGCTTTGGCACTCACCGTTGGAAAAACTGGTAAGTTTGCCTGAAACCTGTTGAAGTTACGAACTGTAAACATTTAAAAAAGCATATTGCTTCGATCTGTATATACTCCGTAGTGAATTTGTCATGTTCTTTACGGAAACATTTGCCATTTTCGGCGACGAGTATTCTGCATGTTGCTGATCATGCTGATCGTTACTACGTTGAGCTTGTACGCTCTTTCTCTGTCTATACTGGCTTGCAGTAGACTGTGTTCACTTATATATTATATTTGTATTATTGTGTTGCATGGTAGAGACTGCAATAAGATACCCATGCTCAGAGAGTGTACAATGATCTACTAATGATTAAGTATAATATTGAGTTCATACCATTCTTTAATCTTGCTTTGTTACTGGAATGGCTTAATGGTTGCAATCCTATGTGGAGTCATACATTGATCACTCAAAAGAAAACAATAGCTTTATAATGTTTACATATATTTTGAGAGATTATATTACTTTATTAGATTCTTGAGATGCAAAAGAAACAATAAATCATTGGAATTTATTTATCTTCATTTGTTCGATATAATATCTATCAATTTAATATTTGATGTTGATAATAACAGACCAAAATTATGTCAGCTTGTAGCCTCTACAAGTACCTTTTGGCTGGACACTTATCATGTAAGCATGGTAAATGAAGAATCAATGTAGGTTTGTCCTTCCAGAGCTTTCTTCTATTTGTTGTCATTTATTTGTTTGGGTACATAGTTCACTAAACGATCAGTCTTTCAAGATTGTTAACAAGATTCCTGCAAAGTAAAGGTATCACGATTCACGAACGTACCCCTAGGGTTATACGTGGTTGTTGTCATGATGTCATGTTGTGCCGAAATACTCAAAAGGGAACTTTCCCGTTAGAATTCTTTATGTTGCAATGGAAATATTCCATTTAATGTAACCCATTAGTCACTGCTACAATTACTAGATCGGAAGGAGTAAAAGAACCCAACTTGTGTCTCTGAAGTACTTGGAAATTATCACTGCAAACATTGAGACCCGACGATGTTTGGTCTGGCTTTGGTCATGGGGAGTCTCGGGACCTGCTCCCGGTAGTGCAGGGGTGTGCTGTGGTTCCTATCATCATAATGGGAAATAATGTAACCACACACCAGAGAGAAAAGAGAGAGAGGTTGAAAGAAAGGATAGGGAAGATGTGAAAACATGAGAGAGGAAAAGGAGAAATAGAGAGGGGGAACTTTGGGCATGAGAAAAGGAAGAAAATGAGAAAGAGGAGAAAGAACAGGGTGAAAAGGCAGGATTGATGCATTTGCTTAAAGGAATTAAACGATCAGAATAATGGGTAAAACTTGAATAGATTTGAAAGGGGGTAGGAAAGAGAACAACGATACATAAAAGGGATAGTTCAAACAAGACAAAAGTGGACAAATATAGGTCAGAAAATAGGTAAGTTAAAAAAGGAAATTGCAGGAAAAGGCAAAGACGTCAGAAAAGAAATTATGAGGAAAGAAATATG